GAAACATTTTATCACTTTCGAATCTCTTAAATTTGTATCGAAAAATTTTTATGCGATCGAAATTTTAAAAATGGCACCGAAGCAATATTTTATTTTCGAATCTCTATTTTTTGCATCGAAATATTTTGATATTATCAAAATCATAAAAACAGTATCGAAATAATTTTTACTTTCAAAATTCTTAAAATAACTTTAAACTATTTATTTTATTACATTAATTCTGATTTGCAAATTTGCAAATCAGAAATTTGCCTTTTTCTATCTACCGGAAAAATAATATTGCTGTGGCCTTTCTTTAATCTTAGACACAGACACATTAAGATATTGCATAGTTTTTGCTAGTTTATTTAGAGTTTAGTTGTTCTTAAAAATTTTAGTTTAGAATTAATTCAAGTTTTTACAATTGCAATATGATAAAAAATAAGATAATTATAGAGTATAAAATTAATTTAACCCTGTCTTTCATAATGTTACCCTTTGGCAACACAAACTTTAAATTCAAAAATTTAGGCCTGTTTTATCTTTTTTTAATTTTAAGTAATGCAATTTAAAAATGATATCGCCGATTGGCAATTGTTTTTTGAAAATATTTAATGTCATTGTAATTTTTTTTTTTTTTATTTCAAATATCGGGAAAGAAAGGGTTAAATTTTTTCTTTGTTTATTTTTTTTTTTTTTTGTTATTATTTTTAGGTGCCCCAAGAAGACTTAACGGTCTTGTCACTGAGCACCGCGGAAGTGCATTTAACCAGGAAGTTCACGCCTCCTTCCATACCGTGACGCGACAATATGTCCAGACCTCGTTTCGAACCTGGATCTCCTGCTTATAAAGCAGGCGCTCTAACCACTGCGCCTTGGCCGCACTTATACTTTTTTACTTTTTTATTTAATTTTTTTCGAAACTATAATAGTACTTTAAATGTAATAATTAGTAATTTATATAAGTAATAATTAGTAAATTAAAAATATATATAAGTAATAATTAGTAATTTAAAATATTATAGTATTATAATTTTTTTTTATGCTATATTTTTTAAACTAACTTTTTTTTGGCTAGCGTCTTAGCATAGTTAAACAACTGCAGCGTGAAAGTTAGCATAAACTTTGGAAAGTTTGTGCTAACGTTCATAACGTGTTTTTTTTTTTGTTTCAACGTGTAAAAAGGTGTTAAGACAGTACGCGACCAAAGATACATATATATAAAAATATTAGTTTTATTGCTTATTTTTAAATCTTATTTAGTGGAAATATTACGATCACGACTATATGGTTACACCTATTGTTATATATAAATATATACAGGGCCGGCGCGAGTAGGTGTCACGTGGAGGGGGGGGGCATGCCAAGAAAACTTTTGCCGACTAAAAAAAAACACAAAAAACAAACAAAAGTCCTAGTTTTTTAAAATTTGCCGACTGCCTTATCGACATTTGCCGACTGACTTTCTGAGTTTACCGATTAACTTGTTGAAGGGGTCAATATTTGCCAACTGACTAATTTAAAAAAGGTCAAACTTGCCGTCTAAATGAACGAAAAAGTCATTGATGGGGGAGGGGGTCACTATCCTCCCCCCCTACATACACATCCATCGCGCCGGTGTAGTATGAGATTTTTACTCCCATTATTTTTTTACTCCCCTAAAAAAATTTTATATGAAATTTGTGCCGCGGAGTAAAAAATGCGTATGAAATTTTTACTCCCTTTATGAGATTTTTACTCTCATTAGATATTTTTACCGTTATGTTAATATAGTGCTTAATTAATATATTTTATAAAAGTTAAGCTTTTAATAAACTTTTTTAACTTAATTTATTTTCTACATTTTAGTGGGAGTAAAATTTCTTATATTATTTTAAATAAACGGTGAAAATTTTACAGATAATCTTTTTTAAACTTAAAGATCATAGAATATGCAAGTACTTGTTTGATCAAAATGTGTACTTGTTTTATTAAAAAATGAAGGGGAATATCCAAAATTGTTTTATTTTACTATTAGGCTATGGTACTTGTTGCAAACTTGTTAGAAAAGGAGTTTTCTAAACAACAAGTTTACCTTGCTAAACTGCAGAATCTGAAAATCGCAGCTTTTTATTTCTTTCTGACTTTTTTTATTTAACAATTCACATCTGCAAAAAAAAAAAAATTTATCGTAGGTTACCCTATGTATCAGATAGGGTTAAGACTTTTTTTTTAATTAAACACATATTGTTATATTGGTTTATTTCTGGATTCTTTGCTTTCGCTTTACTAATGTGGAATCAGTCAGGCATATGAAAAAGTATTGCCACCAAATTTAAAAAGACAAACATTTTTATTCCTTTTCCTACATACCGTTGTAAATTCGCTTATTTTTACGTTTTTAAAACATTTGTTTACAGACTTAAAATAAAAATATATTTAAAAAATGTCTAAAAATTATGAAAAGAAGATAATTTATAAATTATTTTTTTTTTTGATAATATTTTACAAAAGTACAACATTAAAGTGACTTGCAGTTGAA